TTCCTGTTGGTGAGTTCCTTCCAGAGCCTCCATTCTGGGGAGAGGCCCAGGCTAGACATGATTCATTCCCTTCCAGAATGTGCTTCTGACTCTTTGCCTTGCCACCATGCCTTCATGTGGGTACTTCCCCCCAACCCCAGTCCCCTGCTTTTTAGCTTCCTTTTATGTGTTATCTTCCCTATTAGAAAGTAAGCTCTTCAGAGGCAGGGACCCTTTCTCTTTGCTTATATTTGCATCCTCAGAACTTAGTACAGTGCTTAAGAAATGCTTGCTGCCTCGTGAGGACAGAGCACCCTTAGGAGGAGGACGGGGAAGAAATGTACTCCTTGTCACCACAAGATGAATGGTGCTGTTTAGTCACCTTGAATTCATTAGTTTCACATTGAATTTTCAGTGGATTAGTCTGAAAAATGAAATGATTTTTCTAAGCTAATTCAGTCCCCTTTAGCCATGTGAGTCTATGTCCTTCCATATCATGAAGCATGATATGGCTTCAGGTAGGTATTTGGTTCCCTGACTACATTCATTGATGTAGTGATGTCATCCTTGGAGCACCATATTGTTGGGAATGTGAATGTGGATTCCAAATGAAAGCTAAAGGTCTTTTAGAATGTTTCTATGTGACATGGAAATAGGCTTAATATGCAGAGAAGTAAAAGAGATCTCCATTTTGAAAGCCATCTAGTCATTGAACCACCAAGGATAGACTTTTCTCCTTTATACCTTTCATATGGGCAATCTGATTAGAAGAATCATTAGGAATAGTAGGGGTTGTTCTGCTAACAGAGAGCCCTTCCAAGACCCCTTTCTTGTCTCATGTGATTTTACAGGGGCCAAGGTTCTCTCACATGTACATATACACACATGTAATTTTTCATTCATTCACCAAGCTCTTATCAAGTGCATGATATGTGCCAGGTTCTGTGCCAGGTACCGGGGACATTCAAAGACGAACATGAAACAGTTCCTGCCCTCAAGGAGCTTATCTTCTATGGAGGGAATAACATATGTAGAAAATTAAATACAAAAACATACAAAGTATACAGAAAATGAATCCAAAGTGATCTTGGTAAGTGCAAGAAGGCACTAGCCATCAGAGGGATCAGGAATGCCTTTGGGTAGGAGGTGGCTCTGGGGCTGAGGGATTCCAAGAGGTGAGATAAAGAAGGAGTGAAAACCAGGCTCTGGGATCAGGCTGCGCAAAGGCCCAGGGAGATGGGAGATGTCATATCATGCATGGGAACAACAAGTAAGCCTGTTTGGCTGAAACCAAGGGCGTGAAGGGGAGTAATGCTCCATAAACCTGGAAGAAGAGGCTAGGGACAGATTTGAAGGGCTCGAAATGCCAAACAGAGAAGAAATAGGAAACCCCTGGAGTTTCTCGAGCAGGGGTCCAGAATGGCCAAACCTGTGCTTTAGGAATATCAGTTTGGCAGCTGAAGATAGATAGGAGACGCTCAACCTAGGCTGGGGTGGGATGGGAAATCTGAGGGCAGAGAGATCAATTAGGAGGCTATTTTAATAGTCCGAGGGATGTGTTGTGGTGATTTGACAATTCAGGTGATGAGGGCCTGAATGAGGGCTCTTGAGGTGTAAATGGAGAAAAGGGAACAGGGCAGATGCAAATGATATAAAAAAAGCTTGACCATATATAAAAGAAAGGTAATGGAGTTGTATCTCATGCCCTCTTTTTCCTAGGCAAGAAATTAGGCCTAATGGTAGATCCTGAAACATGTAGATAGAAGGTCTCTGTGGCCATGGGCCTTCTTCATTCCAGTAGCAGGGGACAAGAGGGCAAATGGTGGAGTGGAGAGAGTGCTAGACCTGGTGCCAGGAAGGCCTGAGCTTGAACTCTGCCTCGGACACTTGCCAGCTGACTGGCCAAGTTACTTCATTTTGATGTGCCTCACAGGAAACTGCCTAGGGCTTATCTACTAAGTCATAGGTGAATTGGCAATCTTTAGTGGAGGGAGTTCCCACACTTGGAGGGCCCTAGGCTTAGGGCATCACAGATCCCCTTGGCTGTTTTCATGTGGCGTTCACAGGTGGGCCCCATCATAGAGATGCCCCCAACCCTGTCCAGAAGGTATAGAGGGAGAGCTCTGTACTGATGTGATCACACATAGGCCTGCAGACCTGAGCATTGTTAGGCCAGCACATGACATTTCCAGTGGCTCATCACGGGACCCGAGAACACTGGGGTGTGGGGAAGGAGGGCTGGAGTGAGGGAGAGAAATTGAAACGCTTAAAAAAGAGAACAGAAGGTCAAAAAGGGTGGAGAAGAGACAGACAGCGACAAAGCTAGCAATTAAACTGTCGAATCTTTTCCAACACCGTGGAAGCTATAAGTCAAATTTCATTAGCAAACTCTTAGGGTCTAAACACATTGTTTTGGATTCTAATTTTGGTGTATTAAATAGTGTTTTCTTGGAGATCTTCTATCAAGACTTTGGGTGTGATACTGGGAAATCATGGCTTTTTCCAAGTGGCTACATTTTGGGTTAGCTTCTGAAGGGATGGATGTGCCCTCTTGGCCCCAATATCATTTTGCTGTTTTTATTATGTGGTGGAAATGTTCACGGAATCAGAGCATCTCAAAGTTTTAGGCAGAATTTTAGCCATCATCTCAAGCAGAGACAACAGGAATCCCCTTTTCAACGTCCCTTCCTCGTGCGATGAAGCACGCCAAGAGCCGTATTCGGAATAGGAGGACCCACGCTCAAAGCCAGCTCTGTCACTTAAAATCTGTGTGATCCCTGTAAGTCGCTTCATCTCCCTTGGCCTCAGTTTCCAAATCTGTAAAATGATGAGGTTGAGCTCGATGACTTCTCAGGTCCCTTCTACCTATAAATCTGTGTTCTAGCTACTATATTACTTTTGGTACCCCATTTTTGTATCTACCGTGGGAAAATACTTAGGAAATGCACCTATGGAGGCCCAGCTACTGGGGCTACTTTGATGAAAGCTGTTTCATCAGGCAGGAAGATGCCATTACTGCAGTAATGGGTACTGCATCAAAATGGACACGTGAAATGTCTGAGGCTGCATTTTTAGTAGAAGAGGATCACACAAGGAGCATCTCTGGCCAGTGACTCTGAGGACAGCAGTAGTACTCCTTGACCATGTAGGTCCTTACTTAGGAGATGGGTAACCCATTTACCATCCTATGCTCTCCAAATACCCATCCCAAGTGTCCATTTGAAGTGCTTGGTCACCCTTAGACACATTGAGATGCCGTAGAAACATTCCACTTCAAATGGGAACTCAATCAGTGCTAGGAAGATAGCTGCTCACTATTCTATAATCAATTTGAGATTGACCTCTACACCCCTCAAGCCAACTGATAACTTGGTGAATAACCAGGAGCAGTAATCAGAGAGTTTCAGGATCTGAAGAGTTAATATTTCCCATGTTGTTGGAGACATGTCTCTAGAATGGCTGTCTATGCCCCAGTGGTGTTGGAGCAAGGTGGACTTGTGGTGAGGAGGGTCCCAGCCACCCACACAACCTACATTATGACAAGGAAATTGCCTTGAACAGAGAAACAAGAACACAACTCTTAAAAAGAGAGATGTTATAGTACCCAATTTATTCATAAAACAATACAGTTTAAATGTTTATGGTATTTTTTTCAGTCAAACATTTCATCATCATTCCCAAAATGTTGTGCATTTGGCTGACATGTATTTGCAAAGTTAGGAGCTACTGTGAAGACATTGTTGATCACACAAGGTCTCTGATTTACTCATTCAAAAAAAAAAGCAACAAACCAAAACATACAATAAATAATAAAAATGCTTAGTATTGATTCAAAATTTATTTCTTATCCTTTCAAAGTAAAACCTTTTGCACTTTCTACTCTCCATGCTTATAAAGCACCTGCCCCTTCTATCCATGAGAGGAATAGATTAAGAGTTGGAGGAGGTCTCAGAGGCCATGAGGTCCTACTGCCTCATTTTTTAGGTGAGGAAAACTGAGGCCCAGAGAGATTAATTGACTTGCCCCAAATCATACAGGTTGTTCATGGAAGAGCTGGGATTCAAACTCGGATATCGTGACTCCATGAGGTTTAAAGAAATAAAACATTCAAATTTTTGGCTAAAAACAGTTCAGATCGAGTACCCCCCCAAAAAACAAACCCAAATTTTGATGCTTTTAGTTAATGTCTCAAAACCGAATCTGGCACTTTGAGTGAAAGGGCAAAACCCTAGGCCTTGGAGTGCTATTACATGGCCTCATTTTATATGAGTTGAATTGGCAGGGTCCATTGAGATCTGTACAACTTTGTTTCTGGGGGCTGACACAAAGATGGAGACAAGCCTGCAGGTTAGTTAACATGGGGGACAGGGCTGGGCCGTGCTTCTTTATTCTTTAGTTAGAAATATGGTAATGAAGCAATGAGACATTGTAGTATGGACCTGGTAGATTCAATCTTCTTTCTTCCTTCTTTGTAGTTTGCTGTGGTTGTTCTGCTACTAGCATAGAGATAGTGCATTTCTCAAGCAGTATAGGAATGTCCTGTTTGAGCTGATCTTCCATTCAACTGCCAAAGTCTTCTAGAAGACCCAGGGCTCCTGCTGGAATCTGTGCCTCTGTGTGTCACTCCCTTCCCTAAGCAGAGCCTGGAGAGAACAAACCAATCTTGGCAGGGAAGAATCATAGACAGCAATTGCAAAATGGTATTATTTTTATTGGAAACATGCAAAATACAGTCCATGCATCTGCCATTTTGAAAAAATCTTTCATCCTTTAGCAGAGAAAACCAAATACTTTTTTTTGACTATCGATGCTCAATAAATGTTTCAAAATGCTTTACAGTGTAAAGATAATAAGAAATTTAGCAAAATTTCAACAAACCTGTATAAAAAACGGATACAGATACCATTTTATTTCAAGGCGACATGCTGTAATGTAAAGAGTAAATTTTTTTTTTCTTTGTAAAAAGTCTTTGACAATATAAGTGCTTAACAGATCTAAGCCTTAGGGCTACACATGCAGAAAAAAATGTCAGTTAAAAATCACCGAAACGTGCTATTTTAGATTTTTGTTAAGTACTGGAGTAGCAGGAATATTAAGTATTAGCAGGAATAATATTTGAGACCTCTGTAAAAGTGTGTGGAGAAATTCATGGTGCCAGTGTCCTGGAAGACTCATACACATCTGAGGAACATTTGGGTTTAATTCCTTTGCCGTTGTAATAGTCCACGACTTGATTTGGAACTTCAGCCAAAACGCTCTTTGCGAGTGCAGCTGGAGATGCCTGTAGGAGAGAGGGCACAGAGGCTGACATATTTCCAAAGGCTGGGAATTGGAATCAAGGCTCTAGGCGGGTATCTCTCAATAATTCAAGAACGCTGCCTTGGGCCTCGATGGCAGTGATGTCAGGCTCGAATATACTATACACCTCCTAGGGATTTAGAAAACCACATACTAACATTTTTTATGTTCTGTTGTGTTTTTATTTTGTTAAATGTTTCCCAATTACATTTTAATGTGGTTTGGGATATATTTGGGAGTATTGTAGGCCATATGTTTGACACCTGTTCTCTGTTCGATTTGATTTGATTTAATGTTCAACAGACGTTTTAAAAAACGCCTCCTGAGAGAGGTGTGGTACTAGGCTACACTGGGGAAGGACAGACAAAAATCGTTTGTCCCTCATGGGGCTTACGTTGTACTGGTAGGTGGGATTAAAATATCTATTCAAACAAGTAAATATATGATAATTTGAGGAAAGTTCCTTTTCCCTAGGAAGTGGTACTGATCTGAGCCTTAAAAGAAGGTAACCAATTTGAAAGGTGAAAGTGAAGAGGGAATGCATTTGCTACAGGGGGACAGCCCATGCAAAATCATGGAAGTGGAGGGGGAGATGCTGTAATGTATTTCTATTTTTGTCTCTATTTCTACTTCAACATCATTCCTTTAGCTATACATTGCTTGACATTTTTAGGTGTAGGTAAGTGAAACACACGTGTATATGAAGGTTCAAATCCTGGAGATAAATATGCATACACATAGTGGATATTTGTTGTTGTTCGTCCGTTTTAGTTGTGTCCAACTCTTTGACACTATCTGGGGTTTTCTTGGCAAAAATACTAAAGAGACATATATGTGCATATGTGTCTCTCTGTCTCTCTGTCTCTCTCTCTGTTTAAATCCTAGATCTGTCATTTACTACCTGTGTAATCTTGGACAAAGGCAAGTCTTCACTTCAGTTTCGCTATTTGTAAATAGATGAACCTTTAAAGCCCTTCTAGCTCTAAATTTATGCTTCTATTAACTTATATGTGTAAAAATATATGCATGCTTCAAGAATGGGCTAATATCTGTATATGTGCATATATACACATATTATACACATATCAACACAAATGGCTAGAAATATGGATGTAGGTATAGATATAGGTATAGATGAGTATACACACACATGTATAGATATATAGTATAAAGCGTGTTGCATGTAGAGTCAGAAAATTCGAGTTTAAATCCTGGCTCTGACATTTGCAGCTCATGTTTAGGTCTCAGTTTCCTTACCCATAAAAGGAGGAGGATGGACTGAATGGTCTTTCTACCTCTATAATCTACGTAATATAATTATATTCAGATTAGTTGACACAGCACAAATTGTTGGCCCCTTAATGTGATCGTTGCTGTGCATTATCAATTAGGCCAGTTTCAGTCCTTAAAGAATGAACTCTGGCCCATGCATTCTTGAACCCTCTTCTTACCAGGGCACTAGGCAATCTTTACGTGGAGTAAGGAGGTATGTACTAAGGCGTGATCACGGCAGTGGCTTAATATCGCACGTGCCTGAATCTACTTTTGGCACTGATAGGGAAAAGGTGGATGAGATCCTAGATGGAGAGCCGGAAGGGACCTCGGAGGTCATCTGGTCCAACTCTTCATCTTACAGATGAAGAAACTGAGTCCCAAGAAGGCTACGTGACTTGCCCATGGTCATACAGGGTAGTAAACACCACAGGTAGGATTTGAACCTAGGACTTCTGACACCAGAGCCAGCGCTCTGGTGGTATGGGCCCTACGCAAGGTGGCTAGGGTATCTGTCTCATGCTATTGCTATAGAAAAGAGGGAGAAATGTGGGTTCAATGAAAGGACAATGAAATGGACTGAGAAGTGACTGAATGGCCAGATGGAGCAAGTCGTCCGTAGAGGTCTGATGCTGGCTTGGTGGAGCACTCCGGGAATCTGTTCTTGGCCTTGTGCTTTTGGCATTTTGTTAATGACCGCAATGAAGACATGTCGTTCAGTCATGTCTGACTCTCCACAACCCCATTTGGGGAGTTCTTGTCAAAAGTCCTGGATTGGTTTGCCTTGTTCTTCTCCAGCTCATTTGATGGATGAGGAAACTGAGGCAAACAAGGTTAAGTGACTTGCCCAGTGTAACACAGCTAGTAAGTGTCTGAGGCCAGATTTGAACTTGGGAAGATGAATCTTCCTGACTCCAGGCCCTACACTCTATCCACTGCGCCACCTTGCTGCCCCGTGGATAAAGACATAGATCCCATCATTATCAAATGTTCAGATGACAAAAATCCTTGGAAGGATGACTAGTGCACTGGATCAGGGTCCAAAAAGATTTTGGGATATTTGGACAAGTCTAAAAATGTGAAATTTTGATTGGGAGAAATGTAAAGTCCAAGACTTGTAACAATAACCCGGTTGAAACCCACTTGATGAACAAGAGATCCCAGAGAGGGTAAATTATTTTCCTAGGCTCACAGCAAACTTGGAACTAGAGCCCAGGTGTCCTAACTCAGACCAGTGAACTCGCCACTATACCACGCCCTCATGGCTCTCTCCATGGAGCCAAATCAAACTAAAGAGGCAGCATATAGTCCAGTGGCAAGAGTACTGGGTTGGAATCTTGCCTCTGACCTCTGGACCCGTCTCAATCTCTGCACCCTGTTTCCTCATTTGTAAAATGAAAGGGTCAGACTACCCTTTCCCAACCCTAGAGCCTGGATCCTATGAACTTCTGTTACTGCCTGCTGAGGTTGGATTTGGTTTTTCTTTTATTTGGACGTGTCCTTACGCATTTGTAGCTACTGAAGATACAACTCTGTGGGAGTGGGCTCAAGTGAGTCTAATTATACACAGCCTTCTTGAAAAGCAGAAATGTAATTAGGGATAATAACTTTGCATTCAACCCAGCCCAGGATTTTCAGGGCTTCCTGCCAGGGTCCCAGTAGCTCAAGGAAAACACTGTTTAGGTAGAATGGCTGCTATCATCGTGTGCCTGAACGATCAAGGAAGATGCTGACATTGGCCCGATGTTAAAGCCAGTCCCATCCCCAGTGATAATACTGCCGGGTTCCAATTTGTGCGAATAAGGAGTCTCTTAAAATGGTCACATGTATTTGAAATTATAATTATGTAGAATACGTAAAAATTGATTCTAGCCCAAGAGAAACGTGAGGGAATTTGAATAACCCAGCTGAGCTAGTCATCTAAGTGACTCACTAAGATCATATGCTAGAGCCTGTAAAGGTCAGTCTGGGACACGTTTATCCATAATGTGCTCCCTAATCCTTTCCCCTCCCTTCTCGTGTCCCTGATTTCCCAGAAGAACCTGCTTACGTGCTTAAAGTTCCTGAACGGCACGAACTGGACGATATCTCGGAGAACGGGCTCTCCCTTGGGGGACCGCAGGATCCCGTCGTCCCCGTCCAGCATCTGCATGTCGCTGAAGTCGGCGTTGCCGACGCCGACGATGATGACTGACATGGGGAGGTGGGAGGCATGGACGATGGCCTCCCTGGTGTCAGCCATGTCTGTGATGACACCATCCGTCAGGATCAGCAGGATGAAATATTGCTGGATTCAGAAACGGGAGGTGTTGGGGAGAGGAAGAGGAGATAGGGAGACAAGGATAGCGGCAATCAGGCAACTGGTACCGTAACAACCAGCATCCACACTTACTGATCTCATCCCTGAAGCCATAGATGGCTTGTGATATACATTGGTAGAGGGAGTGCCTCCCACTGCCAGAATCATAGAGCCTTCCTGTACTAGGGTATCATTTTAAGCAATAAAAGAACCCACAATGCCAAGGGGATCCTAAATAGCTTACAGTAATACTGGCCAGAAGAAATCTCTCAGAAATCTCTCAACTAACAAACTCCAATATAATTTTTGCAACATTCCTATGGTGCACAGTCTGCAGAGTGAGTCAGTGTTGGGGAGCTAAAAACCTATAATCATCTGAAAATCCAGAATGACCAGCTTTGGGGGAAAAAGGCATTTCAAAGGCCATAAAGGTGAATTTGTTGTTTAGTTCTCCCTTTGCCCCATACGCCTAAAAATGTGTGTTTAAAAATTATAGCTTAGACAGAGACATAACTGAAGAACACCGTGGAATAAACTGGGTGGGTAATAAACTGAAACTAGTCATAAAAGGAGAATGTGGAGATAAAAATTTTAAAACCACATTCATCTCATGATCTAAAAGCATTTTACAGGAAGAAAAACTCTGCTCCTTGGCTATAAACTATATCCATAGCCTTGGTTGACAAGACATTGGACCGTTGGTTCTATTGATCTGCAGGAGGATGGGGTATGAGAGCGTAGATAGATCGGTGTAATCCCCTACTAGTACTACGAAAAACACAAACATAAAACTCAAGTCATACTGATGGTGCACCTGTAGTAGTATTTTCACATAATCTATAAAATATGATATCAATTCATCTCAGTTTTTCTTCCCACCCCATTTCTACCTATGGATTTATTTCTCTCTATAGCCTGTCCTGTACTGGTACATCCCCATATTCCAGATAATGAAGTAAAATGGGAAAATAGCTCATTGGATAGATCCTTTAGAGAGGATTTATGGGAAAATACCTGGGAAACTGCCATTCTCCTGCATCCAAAAAATGCTATTAAAGATTCATTTATACTTCTATAGGATCATACCTTTTAGGTTCTTAACTCTAACTTATTACATCACATTTGAGGTATTTTTCCATTACCCCCTTTTCATGTTACCTCAATTTATTATTTTTTCAACTGAGAGAAGATCAAGAAATTGAAGCAGGCTGCTAGGAATGGAGGTAAGAACCAGTAGGATGGATCAAAGGGACTGATGCCCATTTTACTATCCCAGGGCCTCAGCAGCCCAGTTGGTTTTACAGAAAGACCCTCCCCAAAGAGCTCATTCTCAGTATAGGAAGGGTATGATGGTCAGATGCCAACAGAGAAAAGATGAGTTGAGGAATGCCAGGTACCTTGCCTCTCCCCTTACCGATGCCTCCTTGGTGTTGGTCTCCTCGGATGCAGACTTGGCTACCTTTTGGATGATAGGGGCAATGTTGGTGGGCCCGTAGAGTTGTAGCTTAGGGAGGCAGCTCTGGTAGGCTTCAACAACTCCTTGGATTCCTTAAAAAAAAATAAGAAAGACAAAATTATCCTGTTAACAGGTAGAAGTGGAAACATCTCAAGGTGTCCACCTCAGGATGGATTCATCAAGGGTAGGGATGATGGGAGAAAGGATATAGTACACGAGCAGAGGGGGACCCTGTGGGGTCAAGTCCAGGGATGGGGACAGAGTCAGTGTGTCAGCAGTTAAAAGGTGTCGCTGGGGTCAGGCATTCACTCATGAGGGAGGTATTGTGGGGTCATTGAAGCTGGTTGAACAATAGTAGGAAGGTGGGAGAATGGGAGGGAAGGTAGCATTTCATGTTCGTACAGCTCGTTCCAACACTCCACAGGAAGTGGGACCTTCCAACCTGATTATGGATTATTTATTGACATGCACATCAGAGATGTGTGATTTCATCAGTGTGGATACTCCCTCCTCTGACATAGATGTGGCTCCTTTCCATCTTAGTTAGACACTCTTTGTGAGCTGCTGTAGCTAGAAAACTCATCAGCATCCAGCCAACCTGGTGATGAACCTGTCTGGCTTTAGCTAAGCTTGGCCTCTGATGATGAACAGTCCATCACTAGACCCATACACAACACCTTAGCTTAATTCCACCGGCATTGCCTTTGAAAACCCAAGGTCATCTCCACAATGAGGCACCAGAGGAGGAGTAGCTGACATTTACTTGTTAATAGTAGGGAAATTATTCCAAATTCGATTTAATTCCACAAGCATTTATTAAGTTCCTATGACATGCAAGACACTGGGTTACGTACTAGTGATACAGAGACAAAATGAAAAAAGTCCCTTCCTTAATGAGATTATATTTTACTGGGGGGAGGGGGTGGGGATGAGGGAAAGGAAGCAAGTAATAAATTCAGGGTTTCCATTATCCATTCTCCATTGTGAGATTTTGGTTGTTTATTCATTTTAGTCATGTCCAACTCTTCATGATCCCATTTGGAGTTTTCTTAGCAGAGATACTGAAGTGGTTTGCCATTTCTCCAGCTCATTTTACAGATGAGGAAACTGAGGCAAACAGGTTAAATGACTTGCCCAGGGTCACACTTGCCCAGCTAGCAAGTATCTGAGGCTGGATTTGAACTCAGATTTTCCTGACTCTATCCCAGTGTCCTATCTGTTGTGCCACCTAGCTGTCCATTACTGGATAGTGTAATGGTTAAGTTTAGTGTAAACTGAGGCACAAAGTTCTGAGCATAATTTATTCTTAAAGCACAAATTTACCAGTAAATAAGAGCTCAGCTTCCTCAGCAAAGCTAGGATCCCAAATGAGGGAGACATCCTTTTTTTATAGTTTTGGGGAGTAGAAAACAAAGAACAGGATTTTGTAGGTGGGGAACAAGTTGTGATTGGTTAAAAGAACTTGACATCATCAGTGATAAAATCAATATGATTGGTTACAGAGCCAGGGTGTGGGGGACAATATGATTGGTTGAAAATTGGGAACGAGGGGCTAGCAACATCCCCTCCTTCCGTCCTGTGACTAAGCAATGTTCATTGTTTGAGTCCACCTGCAAGGTTAGAGATAATGGACCAGACTTCTTTGTATAACAAACCAGACATCCTTGACACAGGAATAGAACAGTGATTAACAAGATTGCTAAACATAACTCGTTACAGGTCAGCTGAATTGTGAACTAAATTCAGAGATAAAGAACCATGACTTGGGCAGCTACAAGACAAAATCAATTAAATGTAAATAGGATCAATTAAAAGATGATACAGAATCAATCTGATTATTTCAATAGACCCTACATAGTGCTTGGCACACAGCAGATGCTTAATAAATGTTAGTTTACTGTTCTAGGTATCTGCTTCTCTGTTGCCTTTTCTCTTCCCTTGTTCAAGCTCCCTTCCTTAAGTTGGACAGCTAGGTAGATACAGATAGCTGCGTGACCCTACCTCAATTTCCTCATCTGTAAAATGAGCTGGAGAAGGAAAATGGTAAACCACTCCAGTTTCTCAGCCAAGAAAACTCCAAATGGAGTCACAAAGAGTCAGCTATGATTGAACAACAACCTTAAGGGAAGGGATCCTGAAATGGCATTCTGTTTCCAAGTAAGGTTTGGGTTGCTTCTCAAAATCCCATTTGGTTTTTTTTTTATCCTCTACTTCATGTCAAACTGTAAATCAGATCTTGGAATTTGGATGAGGGACTTCCATTGTGTTCTCCTGGAGAGGCTGTATTGAGACTCTTTGAAGACATCTGCATTCCTCTTACCCCTCCCTAAAGTCTCTAATTTGAACAGTAGCTTCCAAATGATTATTCATCCTTGTTCTGCAGGTGAACTAAGTTCAGGGTTGCTTCTTTTTGGGTGAGGTCTTCAGCATCACGCCTAAGACAAACAGGCTTGATTTCCCTTCCCAAAGCGTGGGGCAGATGGGTTGTAAGAGCATGAAGCAGATGGGGATAGCTTGTTTCTAAGACTGACTTGGTTAGAATCAAATAGTTCTTGGAGTTTAAACTACTGGGTGTGGGGAGGAAAAGGGAAGAAACTAGAATGTTCATATACACAGAAGGGAGAGGGAGAGGAAAGAGGGAAGCAGGGCCTTTGGAGAGTGGAATAATTCAGAAATAGGGGCTGTACTGTACTGTTGCCAAACACGTGATGATTGTCCATGTTGGTGCCAAGTTTGACTGTTGTGACTGTGAAAGTTGACCTTAGGATTCAGGATTTCCCTAACCCAATGCAGGCAGAAGCTAAGTTATACTGACATATGATCCTTCCATTTTAAGCCTGCTGGGAAGGAAATTAGAGGTTGGAAGCAAGGCATAGTGGAAAGAGCTCACTTAGGACCTAGGGGCAGGAGACCTGGGTTTAAGCAGACCAGGCTTCTCCCAGCTGTGTGAGTAAATGACTGGAAAAAAAAGCATTCATTAAGCACTGACTATGTGTCAAACACTGAGGATACAAATAGAAAAAAATGAGATCCATGAGCTCACGCTTTAATTGGGAGAGACAACACATAAAAGAATCTCAGTTACAGGGCAGATGAAAGGTCTCAAAGTTGTAAGAACAGAGCACAGAGACCTTAGGTAAAGACGAGAGTGCCAGCGGTCTCAGAGGCATAGAGGCTGGGCAGATGGAAAGACTTGGAGAACCTTGGCGGCAATGACTAGGGCCAAGTCATTATATCTCTTTGAAGCTTAATTTCTTCATCTGTAAAATGGAGAGAATTGAGCTTCCACTGCCCATGAGGCTGCTGTAAAGAAAATGCAAGGAAAGAAGAGAAGAAATTTGGGCAAGTTTATCATGGCAGTGGTATGTGGGCCTATTGGAGTGGAAGGAAGAGTTGTTCTGGGATAATTCTGTGTGTTTTTTTTTTT